TTAATATATTTTAACTACATTGCATTTGAGTATGGAAAAAGCAACTATCTGGAAGTATTTCACATAAAAAATTTACTAAGTATAGCCTGGCTTTTAGATGTAGTTAAAGAAAATACATGAAAAGGCAAGATTTTTTTTAATTAAAAAAAAATGTAAATATTGCAAAAACGGTAACACTAACCTGAAAATTTTTTGTTTATCAGAGAGCTCATTTTACGCACAAACTTTGNGCGGTGCAGGACGTCCTGTCTCTCCGCCACGCCTTCCAGGTATGCGACCTTAAAAAAGGTAAAATGATAGTTAAAAGAATAATGGCTTCAAACAAGAAAAGTGCAAAAGTCACTTGCCTTCATATATTACTCTATGGGTCCGGGCGAATACTTCACGGCCCGAATGCAGACGATTGGGGTATCGCTCTGCACAGAGTCTTTGAGCAGCTCTGGCATTACAGCAAGCTTCACCGTAAATTAGGTGAATATCCGCATATTCATGCGACGTATACTGCGTGTTCTCTGTCATAGTATTAATAACACAATGTTCGAAGGGTCCAATTTCACAAAATCCACTTTCACTAATTCCGGTAAGTAACACAAAATAATGTCAGGAGCAGGTAATAATGTACCTTTGTACTATTTAGCATGTCATTGGTCGGTAACAAGAGCAACTTAAATTTAAGTCTATTAAATATATTCTAGCGTGTCTCAGTCCTTTGCCCACAAAAGCTGCTATAACTTTTTTTCTATTCGAAAAAGTAAGAGTGGCACCTTTCTGAAATCCTTACTAAATGAACAATTTTTTGTATGTAATGTAAAGTTTTAGCTCAGTACATTTTGTTTCACCAAAGACAGTCAAAGTTGGGGAAGAAAATACCAAAAAGTTAAAAATCCCAAAATAGTCTTAATTTTATGATGGTTGCTTAATATATTTTAACTACATTGCATTTGAGTATGGAAAAAGCAACTATCTGGAAGTATTTCACATAAAAAATTTACTAAGTATAGCCTGGCTTTTAGATGTAGTTAAAGAAAATACATGAAAAGGCAAGATTTTTTTTAATTAAAAAAAAATGTAAATATTGCAAAAACGGTAACACTAACCTGAAAATTTTTTGTTTATCAGAGAGCTCATTTTACGCACAAACTTTGCATCCTCAATAGAGACTCGTCCCACCCGTCACAAAATACTATGCCACCCACCACAAGCTAAAGGAGTTTTTTTTTTAAATTTTCAAATATGAAAATACCATTAAGGCATAAAATGGGCCTTAACATTCTGTTATCACATACGAGAAAGGCGTTTTGAACGAAATATTTATAGTTTGTCTAAAATAGGGAAACGAATCCATCAACTCAGAGAGGCGGCTGTCGTCGGTGTCCCACTCGCCACTTTTGAAAAATTGTCAATTTTCTATGTAAATTATATAATTAAGTTTTATACCTTATTAGTTTCATAATAATCTGATATCTGACTTCAAGTGTTAAGATTTTGAGACTTATCTAATAAATAGTTAAAGAGAAATGACTTAAAGTTTGAGCGAAAACGAGTTAAAATGTCCCACCCGTCACGTTGCAATGCACCGTTTTCATAAATCGGTCCATTTTGTGCACTCTATCGGCTATTTATACATCGAGTGGAAAATTTTCGATGCATCGAAGCAAAACATTGATATTTTCGATGCATCGATGTTTTTCCGACATCCCTATGAGTCAGCAACGAAGCAACATAGGCGGAGCTCCGTTGGTTATTTTTTTTATGCGACAGTGTTCGCTTACACATGTATGTACGATTAAAAATTATCTTCAAAGTATACTTTATGGGGCTGTTCAGGACATTGAGGAAATGGTCTTGGATTTACATTTCGAATTCCATTTGTAAATTTTATGCTTGCTATCATGGCAACAGTATGCATTTTATTGTTGCGAACCTACAAATGCACCGAAAAATGCAAATTCAAGATCATATGCACAAGATCCTGAACAGCCTTCATGATTTTAAATGCTTTGTTGAAAAGCAAAGCCTCTTGCGTCACTTACCCATTAAAGGAGAACGGGAATATAATGTCAAAAGGCATTATAATATTTTTCATTGTATTAGTCATATATATACCAACTTTCAATTTTCTACTATAATCAATACAGGGTCCATAACCTTGAANTCTTGTAATATTTTGGCAGCTAATTTAAATTTGAAATGGTCTTAACTAATAGTTTGGTAATGGTTGAAACGGTCTTAGGTTGCTTAACTAATAGTTTGGTTAATACATAGTACCAGGTTGACCGAGCTTTGCCCGGAGTGCATATACTTTTTAAATTTTTCAGGATTTGGATAGCTTTAAAAAATATTTTGAAAAAAAAGGATTTCGATATCTATTAAGTAAATTCCTTACTCTAAAAGTTATGTGGCAACCCTATTCCGAAATACGCTGGAAGGAATGGTACATATCTTGAGCGTATATGTACTATGTATACATTAACAAATTTTGATTGAAATTAACAAAATAAAAATTTGTATTACATAAAAGCGTGGCGACCCTGATAAAAATCATTTTCTGACCAAAGTTCTCAACAATACCTTTCATTTGATTTCCATATTGTGATGTTTTAAATAAATTGTGTAGAACCGAAAATAAGTGGCAACCGTACACTATTATCCTAAGAGATAACATTTTGTATATAGGGAAAGCATTGTTTAAGAACCTTATCTTGGTAACCATGAATAATAATGTTTTACCTTCTTTTTCTAAACAGAAAATTGAATAAATGTGCGATTCAAAATAGGTGGCAACCCTATTAAAAATATTTTTGAATTAGGGATATTTAAAATACCCTCCATTTGATACCCATATTATGATGTTAATTAATTTGTAACTTATTTCGAATAGGTGGCAACCTTATACGAGTCTTCTCGGAGGTAATGCCTATTCAGATAGCCTTAAAATCCAAAACATTATCTGTGTACACAATTTTATCAAAATACGTAGGACCGTTTTCGAGAACCCCATGGATATATTCAGTATTGGCCAATACAATAGCACCCCCATTTCAATGTCATGTTGTTTGCCACTCATGTTTATTTATTTATTTTTAAGAATTTTTAATTAAAATACAGATCATTCTCTCACAAAACTCACATAAACTCAAGTTTAAAACTTTTTAAAATACCGCAAAAAAGTGCAACAAATTTTCACCCAAATTTCAAACTTTTTTCTCAGAAGCGGTAGAATTTTTTTGAATACACAGTTTTATAGCCCATTCAATTTTAGTCTAATAATGTGCAAGTTTCTAGTGGCTAAAAATCACCGTTGATTTTTTAGAATTTTTTTCGCCGAGGATGTTGAGGGTTTCTGCCATATAAAAATAAATTGTGTTTAGTCGTTATATGGAAGCAAATGAGAAAAAAAATTCTAAAAAATCAACGGTAATCTTCAGCGACTTGAAACTTGCACATTATTGGACTAAAATTGAATGCGCTATAAAACTGTGTACTGAAAAAAATTCTAGAGCTTCTGAGAAAAAAGTTTGAAATTTAAGGGAAAGTTTGTTGTGTTTTTTTGCGGTCTTTTAAAAAGTTTAAAACATATGGGTTTTGTTAGAGAATGAACTGTATTTTAATTGAAAATTCTTAAAAACAAATAACTAAACATAAGTGGCAAACAATATCGCTTTTAAAGGGGGGTGCTATAGATATGTTATATATATATATACAAGAATTGCTCGTCTAATGTAATAAAATATGGACAATATACTACTTCTATAGTAAAATATAAAAATTTCATGAGCAGCCTCTAAATTTATACTTAGAAACTTAAAGTTTGGTGCAGGACCTCTTTCTGCAAGAGGACAAATTTTCTAATGTACATACATACAATAATCATTTTGTAAGGAAAAAAAACAAAATCATAACTTTACCCCATATGATTTGCTTTTACACCACTGTAGCTTAAATTGCTCTGCGCTCACCAACACAATCTCACTTTCAGTTTTGCCGACCACTGCTCTAAATGCCCTGCAGTAAATCTTGCCAGTTCAGAACTAGCGCAGAACTGGATCCTTAAGAGGCGTGAATAGTTCTCGATCTATCCAAACGCAATGATTTCAACTGTCTCTTTTTACATGGCGATGTCCTACGAAGTGGAAATTGCCACCTCTGCAGAACTTTCGTACTAGTTCTGAACTGGTTCCATTTTCGACAGTTCTGGGACAATAAGTTTTTTATGAAGAAACAAAATTTAAAACTAGATTATTGGATATTTTTCCTTTTCGAAACTGTTTCCATTTTGGACAGATAACTTTTTTATGAAAAAATTTTGATTATTTAGATTTTTTTATTTTTTCTGTTCTTTTACAGATTGCATTTTATTTATTTTTTATTATTATTTTATTTTCTTTATATTAAATTGGATAATTTTTTCTTCACTTTTTAAACGGCACTCAACAATTTAAATTTATTAAATCTGAAAATCACAACTGCGATTTGTACTCGCGACCAACGATGTTAGAGTCGGAGGTCTTGCCGCTGAGCTATTTTAGTATTGTACGAGAATTGAGAATTTCTGCATTTACTTCTCAACAGAGCGCAACTAGCACGCCAAAAGTTTCAACTGTCCCTCTCTGCAGCCGTTTTGCACTAGTTCCGAGATAGTTCTGAAATGTATAGGGCGGAACTAGCGCTTTAACAGACTGTCTCTAAATTTTACTGCAGGGTGCATGCGCAAGGTATCGTAATTGAAAAAGGAGTTTCGCACATTCGATAGTTTGATATGGTAGCGACGATGTAATAACAAAGTCATATGGCTAATGTACTAATTTTTCATTTCTATGTAAGAATACAGTTTAATAGCAATTGGATTTTATTTGTTCCGAAAATGTGTCTTTCCCAAATAATCTTCTAATGTGCCTCTTATGCTAAATTTCAGATAACAATCGACGAAATACGTAATGCTAATTTTGCCACAGCTAGCGATGAATTGAAATCAACAAACTTGTTAAGGAATTATCCGTTCGACCCCAGGCTCCTACTCTTCGGATACACAACAGAAACGATTAACATGCTTCTTGTGCCCATGTTCAATGACAAGTAAATACTATATCATTCTTTTGTTAGTGCTCTAAAATTTATCCTTTAAATATATCTGTTTAAAACTTATATGAAGCGGTAATCGAAGAGTTCTACATGTCGCTACCTTAATATAAAAAGGCCTTAACTCGTTTTCTTTTCAAATTCAGATGTATGAAAAAGTCGGTAGATTACTCACTAAAGACTTAATTGAATTTAAACTACTATTACATCAAAAAATTTAAGAACTTTAGTTTGTATAAAAGGTGACAGCTAAAAACATCAACGGAAATAAGGTCAATTGACACATACTGGTGCGAAATAATGTCAATTGACATTACTACCTTTTCAAAAGCGAAAAGAAAGTCAACAAAAATTTGGAAATAAAGTAATGATGATATTTCCTTATTCAAACGGAAATAGCGTCAACAATGCTTAAAGTATGTCGATTCAAAGAAAAATGTTGTTCTTGTATCGTACGTGAGATATGTGAATGTTGTTTATAATAAATATCGCCCCGTAATTGTTGTTTCCTTCCATAGATGAAAGGGCATATTGCCAAATCCTCAGTCTGCTGTTAGTCATCAACACTCAATCATGAACCACCACCAATTGATTTTATTAAAAATTTAAAATTACGAATATAATAAAAACACGATGCGAAAAACCAAACGCAAAAAGAGCTAAAAAATATTTGAAGAAAAAAATATAGAAATCATCCAGAACTTGCAAAACATGCCTCGTTTCCACAATAATGAGGCGAACACTATTAAAAGTAAGAAACAGTGGATTGTCGCCATGTCAAAAAAAAACCCCGGAAGAACACTGAAAGAATTGTGTTTTTAAATTATCATATTTCGAACGAATTCGGAAGTTGAAGGTTGAAAAAAAGAAACCTTTCTATAAGAAAACAATTATAGAAAATAATTTTCTTACACTGTATTCATGTCGCTGCCAACGACTTGTGACATCATTTAAAAGCAGCTAAGGAGAACTATGTATTAGATGACACATTCAAATCAGTGTGCCAAAATGCGGGAATAAACAATTATTTAGCGTGGCGGGTCGCGACGTGGTGTGGCGCGCGGCTGCGGGACGCCCCGAAGCTACACAAATTTAATATTTGAACGAGCAATAACGTCAATGGATTTTATTTCGC